TTATTTGGCACAAAGGATCACATTAAGGAGGGGCATCTGTAGTTAACATTTTTTTTAAAGTGGGCGTGCTCCCGCCCCTAATAGGTTTAATGTGCATATCTCCTAAACTGCTGAAGATATAATAACAAAATTCACTGAAAGCAAATGTTTTTAGCACCTCTACCTACAGTGTGAAAATGGGTGAAATCGAGTGACACCCCCTCCACTCCCCATATAACGGTACTGTTAAAAAATACTAAAAGCGCGACCAAAACCAAGCACTAAAAAAGTCAGAGACATTTTTAGGTAAAACCCCATATCTTGGGATCCGCTTAACTGATTTCAACCAAATTCGGTACAGAACACCATTTTAAATTCCATTTAATTTTTTCACTTTCCAGTATGCAAATCAAGCAACAATGATTGTATCCGGGTAAAACTTTTCGTGAATAATGCGTTTGAAGTATGCCACCTTATGACTAAAAATTATCTTAATTGAACCAAAACTGTTCAAGCCCCTAGGTGGATATGTGGACCACAGTGTCTATAGTTGACTTTTTACCGAAAATATCGGTCAACATAGAACAAGGCGGCAAGAACTACAAAGAAATCTAAAACGAGTATACCATTTGACTTTGCAAGAATACAAATGTACGGTTACATCCGAACTTAGCCCTTCCTTACTTGTTTTCAAATGCGTTTTTCTCGAAACGACTTTTTTTCAACTTGCGAGAATCCTAGCTCGAAAAGTTATTGAGACGAATCGATCTGAATTTGTGTGAATATCCTTTCTTCAAGTCCGAAAAATATGAACCAAACTCTGGAACGATATTATTAAGTAAAATATATTTTTTATGTAAGAAAGGTGAAAAAACTGATATAAAAACATAACATTTTGTTCAAACACCTCCAAAACTTTTAATTTTCAACTCTTTTGCCCAGAGTTTGGTTTATATTCTTAAAATGTTACTAACGATAGGAAAAAAAATTAATGATTTCAGATCAAAACTGTGACCTCCAGGTGTCCCCCCAGTAGTCAACTCTGATGACGATCGTCAATGAACACCTCCCTCTAACTCCACCACAGGCGGAAATGGTATCGAAAAATTTACTTAGTTAGTTTATATTAGTTATATGTATGATATAGGTAGATATTAATGAAAATCAATAAACTATGTGCTGTACCTTCACACAACACTAATTCATTTATATACTTAGTTTTGCCGTAAATTCTGTTATTAAGTTTACAATACATACAGCGAGGACAAATTCGCAGTAGAAAGTGCTGTTATTATTTATTATAATTTGTATTCACTAGATACATATGGATAATAATCAGTTCAGTGTTTGCTTTCGCTTATTAACAATGGAGTGGGAAGGTAAAGAAAATCGTATTGCGGTAATTGCTTTACATAAGTGTGGAAAAAGCGTAAGGGAAATTTATAAGCATCTCAGAAAACATAATAATACGATAATGTCTGTTTACGCACTATTGACCGTTATTCCCACCTAGCGTGGTTCGAACCAATTCAGACAAAAAAAAACTGTTCGGGAACGCATTCTTAGAATTCTCTTAGAAAACAGAAAATTATGTCTAGGGAAATATATATATCGACAAGATCATTGTCAAGGCTTATTCCAGTGGTAAGCGGTCAACGGCCATGAAAGTCGTCTATACAGATGAAAACATGTTCACTGTTGAAAAGTTTTTACTAAGCACAACGACAAAAATTACACAAAGACACAAAAAATGATATTTGAAGGGTTCAACGTGGTCACCACGTTTAGTGGGTATTCTCCTGTAAAAGCGATTAAGCCATACTCTCTTCTGCAGATCTTTCAGCACACAATGCAAAAACCATGCAGCAGTGGTTTAAAAGCAATATTCCTGGTTTTATGTCTGCAGATGATTGACAAGTCTAGAAGTCCGAATTTGAAGCCATTGGACTTCAGTTTGGCCAGAGTTAGAAAACATGACCTGTCGAATACGAAATGTGGAGAGTCTCAAAAATTCTTTAGTTTGAGCAGCGTCGTCAGTGTATAATGCTTGACTGAACTCGAGCTTAACTCTTTCTTACTAGTTGTTAGCAATACTAGAAAATATTTCCCCGCTTTTAAGATTGGCAAATTGCGAGAGTACATATAAAATGTTCTTTGCTCTTCATTATTTGTTTTAAGCATCTTCATTCAAAAAATGCAATAATTAGTTTTTTAGTTTTTTTCAGCACAAGGTATTTTTCAATAACATCCAGTTTTAACTTTTTTTTAATAGTATTTCTCCCTGCAAATAATTTTCTACATTTAAAATATAATGCCTGTTGATTTTTTGATTTAGATTTGAATTTTTTATATGATAATAAGAACAACATAGATAACTTTAGGCGAAGGACGTTCCCGTTACAATTAACAGCTGCTATTTGGAGAGACTTTCTTAGACGTGCCTAAGAACCTATTTTTCAGAGTACCAAGCGAAAAACATATATTATTTTTTCTTGACTCTCTCTACTGTTCAAAGTATATTGATGGCACTTAAACACCAATTAACTAAACTTGAATTTATATGTTTAAATTTTTATTTAAATCGATTGTTAAATCTCTATAAGTGAGTTCAAACTGGAAAACAAATGAACGGTAACAATTGAATGTTTAGATTTAATTTATTTTATTATAATTTCATTTCTGAATCAGTGCCAATTAATCAACAAGTTTACTTAACTTAACCGAACATTTTACACCCTCGCAAATTTTTTACTAAAAAATATTCGGTAAAACTCAATCTACATTTTGCTTGTCCGAAATCAAAATCGGCCTAATTAACTTAAATGATGTATGCATGTATGTGATATTAATTAACCAAAGGGGCTTAATTTAGTATATGAAGAATACATAAACCAAGGGATCGGAAATCAGTATTTTAGGATATGGACTTAGAGCAGAGTTTGGACGAATCTGATTTATCTGAAGTCCGAAACCACATTATTTTTAAGAAAAATTGTTTACTAAATTTCATTAAAATATCACACATATAGACCGACATAAACGCTTCAAAATTAAATGGGAAGTGAAATTGGATGGAAATCATATATCGCGTATATTGGGATTGCATTAACGATTGGTATTACACAAGTATACTTGCGAATATGTTTTTACGCAATTCATACACTAAACGATGTATTGGGCATAGAGTCTGCTAGGCTAACAAAAATCATTATAAGTAGTATATGGGAGCTGGGGTAGTTCGTGGACCGATTTCACACGTTTTTGGCATTGAACTATGGTATATTAAATGTTATATGTTCACTTAATTTTACTAAGATCTCTTACATATTGACCGATATATACGGTATAAGGCCAACTGGAAGTTTGATGTTTTTATATAAAGTATATGGGGGCTACGGGAGGTATTGACCCGATTTTATTCAGTTTTGGTATTACGACAGACATTACCAGAAATAGATGTTCTCTGAGTCTCATTAATATACCTCAATAAGGTATAATTTCAAGCAGATAATTGAAAACTCTTATACTAAGTCTATGGGGCTAGAGGGAAATATTGCACTGATTATAAACGTTTTAGGCACAATGGTACACTGTTATTGGAAAGATACAAATTTTTTAAGATATCTTACATATCGACCGATACATGCGGTAAAAAGTCAACCGGAAATTGGACAATGTTGTATACTAGCTGTACACTGCGCCTTGTTACGCCCCCAACTAAAATAAAATTGAAGGAAAGACATTACACAAATATTCAAATCATTTTGAGTAATTTTTATGATATTGTACATCTGTCGAAAATTGGTCGGACCAACTCAAAAACATTCTTTGGCTTATGCACAACAACTTTGCTATAAATCATCACATAATCAAATGTATAATTTACGATTCTATAAAGAACAAACATTAATTTTAATACCATATATTTAGAAAGTATACGGCGGTTAGGAATAGTAATGACCCGATTTTGCCCATTTGCCCACAATGGCATGCTGTTGTCGAAAAAATATTATCTCCGTATTTTAATAACATATCTCACAAAATAACCGATATTTTCAGTGAAGAGTCAGTCATAGGCAATGGGGCCCACACATTCGTGATCTGGGGCCTTGAAAATATAGTCCCATTTCGACATCTTTTAAACGTGAGATGAAATATTTACACCATTTGTGCAAAGTTTTTTTTCGATAACGCTATTGACTCTCGATTTATATGCTGTGAAAAAAAAGAAGCGGGGGGAACTTGAAATTGTTAAATAAGGGAAGAAGGAGTACTTGTAGACTGATTTTACTCATTTTCACGATATAAATTTAAATATATAAATTAAAAATACAGAAGTAATATTGTTTGTTGAGTTGTTACTGAGATATAGAATTTCACTTAAAGGTTTTTATGAAGTCCTTCCGTGTTGGAGGAGGTTTGAAATAGATTTGACTGGTCGAATTTGGTTAATATAGTTTCAGTCATTTTTGACTTTTGTACATTAATTTAATTTAAGACAGGAAACTCTCACATTCGAGGAGATCCGCATAATATAGTGGATGTGGAAGCAATTCTAAGTCCGATTCATCCAATTTTTGCCAACTTGTTTCATGTTTCACCTATAATAGGGGTTTTCATTAAATTGTCCCACAACAGTGATATTTACGCATGTGTCTTTTGAAGGTGTGGTCAAATTAAAAAACTAATGGATTTAACGTATTGTGAGATTATAAAAATCTCATTGTTTGCAGTCTCTATTTTTTATTTATTTTTTAATACTTAATATTGTATCACTTATTAATTAATGATCTGTTATTTCGAAATACATAAAAACACTAAACTACAGTGAATACTGTTACTTAACTGTTATTTAAATATTAGTCACCTTCGAACATCTGTGAGAAGTTTCTTTTGATTAAATTACGTTTTTAGGCAGTATTTTATACGTAGGTTACGCTGATATTTATGGTAAATTATTTTAGTTACCGGCACTAATTGTATTACGTACTATATTTTTCTTGAAACCATTAAAAACAATACAATTTCATAGTACTTGCAGTGGTCAGTACATACGTATATTTTGTTCAGATATTATTGTAACCCATCGTAGAAAGCTTGCAAAAACAATTGGACTTCATGTATTTCGTGCTGTTATATCTTTTTATTATTTTCAATATACATCAAATATTTTGTTATGATCCGTTGGACATATTTAAAGAGATGGGGCGTTTAACACAAACATGCTTAGATCTGACGTGCACAAACTTAAGTGTGTTTTTAAACACTTGTGAGTGCACCAGCATATTTAATAAGTGAACTTCTATTTATTTTCAGACGATTTAAAAGTTGCAAATGAACTGGAAAGCGACCACAGAAAAGATGTGAATTGTTTGCGAATGTGTTTGTTCTTACATGCTAGAGAGGTAAGCAAAACACATTTCAATAATACTCACATTTTTACTATCATAATATAAATGTATTTAAAGTCATCAAATCCGGATCTGAAGGAAAATTTTATGGGCTACAAACGTAACGAAAAAGCAATAAAAAGAAACGAATGCATTGGGTTTTGAATTTCTAAAATTAAAAACAAAAACATGGTTTAACTCTTTTATACTCGAATTGAAAACGAATCGAAACATGTACGTTTTACATTCAACCAAGTACCCCATTTGATCAAATCTAAGTGATTATCAGGGCTCGGAAATATACTTGTATAATCTTTTAACAGGTTTTGGAGTTAATGATCCGAAAAAAGTGCTGAAGCTTGAGTTGGAGACCATGGTGATGAATGAGGGGTGGACGTGTTATTTACAATTTAAAGCTGTAACTTTGTACATAGTAGTAAATTTGCTATATCCAGCTGCAAGTATATTAGTTTTGTCTAAGTTTGATGATTCTATTTGGAAATTCCATAGCATTTTTATATTTTTGCAACATGTTGCTACAGAGAATTATAGTTTTATTCATCTAATACAATGTTCGCACCGAATTGAAATCCTCCTGAAAACACAATTTGTGGATTGTGGAACCAAAGTCGTTCTGACCGACGAGCCTTGTTTTCTTTTTGTTTGTTTGTTTTGTTTTTTCTGATTCATTGCTGAACATAAATCCGTCATAGCTGAAAATTGTCAGTTATGACCGAAACGCTATCAGAAGTGAAAAATTCTTTTGCGCAGTAGATAATACTTGTAACTTTTAATCAAAATTAGTTATAATAATATACTTAAATATAAAAAGGAATGCAACAAAAAATATAATAAAATATGAAAATATAAAAATAAATTTTCACTTGATGCCATCTCCTCCTCTCAATAGCTCTGCGTACGTCTTTCTCCAATCAGTGGATAGTTCTGAATTTAAAAATGCAAATGTAAATTAATAGTACTGACTAATGAGTGTATTGGTGAATGTAAACAAATTGTCAACTGACATTTAAGGCTGCCAAATATAATATGTCTTCTAATAATATCGATTAAACTAGAGCAGGCACCGATTATAATGAGTAAAATGTAAGTTTTCAAGGGGTTTTCAGCGAAAACTGTGTTTTCGTTTACCAGATTTTGTATAGATGAAAACACAAGTTTTCGCTTAAAAACCTCTTTTGTCTATGAAAACACGAATTTTGTGTCGGTGCGAACGTAGTATAATGGTTGCTTGTATCACCTAAAACTAATCGAGATAGACATCGAGCTCTACATATACAAATGATCAGGATGACGAGACAAGTTGTCTGTCCGTCTGTCTGTTTCTCTGTATGTGGAAACGATAACTTCAGTAAAAATTGAGATATCGTCATGAAACTTTGTACACGTGTTCCTTAGTCGAATCGGGAGGAGAAGTTCGTAGATTCAAGCTTTATCACCCAAATCCTTTCGACACTTATAACAGTGTCAAAATAGATCAAATCGGATGATAAATACGCCTACTCCCCATGTGACGGTTTTGTTAAAAACTATTAAATGTACGATAACTAAATGCGTCGGAGACATAAATTTTACATCCAGGAGAAGAGCACTTTATAGAAGCAGGTATCCAAATTGGACGATGGGTGTGACACCGCCCACATTTATGTGAAATCACATATCTCCGGAACTACTAGACCAATTTTAACCATTTGGTACATAGGATTATTTTGAAATTCCTATGTTACAGTGCGAAAAATACTTTCCATATAATACAACTGTGGCAATCACAAATGCAACTCTGCAAGAGTTATTTATAAAGCAGATATGGAAACATTCAACCTACACTATCTGTCATGCTGACGTACCTCCATCTTCTTTTTTCATCACACATCGTCCAGCTGTAAGCACGTCATCACTATTTTTGTATGTAATCACATTATATCAGATTTTGGAAAGTAAATAAATCGAACATTATTTTGGACACTCCACACAACTTTAAATTCTATATGATTTTTTCACTTTCCAGCATACAAATCAAGCACCAATTTTTATATCAGGATAAAACCTGATGCCACCTCAAGCAATTGTCAAAATCGTACCATTACTATTCAAGCCCCCAGATAGCGGAAATGTGGACGTCTATGGTTGACTTTTTATCGAAAAAGTAAATGAATGAGATAGATAACTGAAATTAGGAATCAATCTTTTCCTGATATTAGTATGCCTGTATGTCGAAAATTGGCTGTATCAATATTTCCCTTAGCCCCCATATACATAATAGAAAGATTTTTGAACTTCCGGCTGACTTTATATCAGCCAATATGTGAGTTATCTTAATTAAATTAAGTGAGCGGGTTTTTCCCAACGGTGCATCTCTGTGCCTAAAATCGGGTAAAAATTTGCCTTACCTCCCATATAATTAATATCAGGATTTTTAAACATCCGGTTGACTTTACTCCTTATAAATATATTGTTGATGGCATGCAAGGTACCTTAGTGCAGAGAGCATCTTTTTCTGTTAATAATAATATGTAGTAGTACCAGAAATAAATAAAATTGTGTTAATACTATCCTTACCTCCCATATACCTAATAAAATATCAAAGGATCGTATATATCGGTCAATATGTAAGATATCTTGGCAAAATTAACTGGACGATAATATTGGATACATTTTAGTTTATTGCCGAAAATATGTGAAATTATATTATACCACATATAATAATTTCCATTATTCTAACAAACCTTATTATATTAATGGTTTAGAGCTGAACATGAATGGAGTTGGTCTAGACCTTCATCTTAATCTCAATCCTTCTTCGGTTACGTTTATGTCGGATATATCTCATTTGAGGATGATTTGAGTATAATATTCGCTGACGGGAAGTAAAACATAGCTATAAAACTAATTGAGCCTATGACCTATAATATAACTTAATAAAATACCAAATTTTATTTAATTTCGTCGAATAATGAATGAATTATTTCGCAATATTTTTATACTCTCGCAACCTGTTGCTACAGAGTATAATAGTTTTGTTCACCTAACGGTTGTTTGTATCACCTAAAACTAATCGAGTTAGTTATAGGGTTATATATTATATATATAAATGATCAGGATGAAGAGACGAGTTGAAATCCGGGTGACTGTCTGTCCGTCCGTCCGTCTGTCCGTCCGTCCGTGCAAGCTCTAACTTGAGTAAAAATTGAGATATCTTTATGAAACTTGGTAGACATGTTTCATGGTACCGTGAGACGGTTGGTATTGCAGATGGGCGTAATCGGACCACTGCCACGCCCACAAAACGCCATTAATCAAAAACAAATAACTTGCCATAACTAAGCTCCGCAATAAGATACAAGACTGTTATTTGGTACACAGGATCACATTAGGGAGGGGCATCTGCAGTTAAAATTTTTTTTTAAAAAGTGGGCGTGGTCCCGCCTCTAATAGGTTTAATGTGCATATCTCCTAAACCGCTAATGCTATAATAACAAAATTCACTGGAAGCAAATATTTTTAGCACTTCTATTGACGGTGTGAAAATAGTTGAAATCGGGTGGCAACTCCGCCCACTCCCCATATAACGGTACTGTTAAAAACTACTAAAAGCGCGATAAATCAAGCACTAAACACGCCAGAGACATTAAATTTTATCTCTGAGATGGTATAAGATGACTTTATAGGAACCGAGTTCAAAATTAGACAGTGGGCGTGGCACAGCCCACTTTTAGGTGAAAACCCATATCTTGAGATCTGCTCAACTGATTTCAACCAAATTCGGTGCATAACGTTCTTTTCATGTTTCTATGTCATAGTGCGAAAATGGGCGAAATCGGACTACAACCACGCTTACTTCCCATGTAACACCATTTTCAATACCATCTGATTCTTTCACATTCCACTATGCAAATCAGGTAAAAATGATTATATCGGGGTAAAACTTTGCGTGAATAATGCAATTAAAGTATGCCACCTTGCGGCCAAAAATTGTCTAAATCGAACCAAAACTGTTCAAACCCCTAAGTACTAAATATGTGGACCCTAGTGCCTATAGTTGACCTTCTACCGAAAATATCAGTCAATCCACAAAGAAATCTCAAACGAGTATACCATTTGACCTTGCGAGAGTATAAAATGTTCGGTTACATCCGAACTTAGCCCTTCCTTACTTGTTTAATATGAAGTTTTGCCAACACTTGACGCTTGCAAGTTGAGAGAGTATAAAAAGTTCGGTTACACTCGAATTAAGACTTCCTTACTAGTTCTCTGTAAAACTTGGACCGTAATGTTTTCTCTTTAATAATATCGGGTTTTGATTAAATGGACTTTAAATTGAAAATCTATGTTGTGTACTAATTTGCGTGTTAAATTCCTTGCTTAGAGACGTGCGGCGTTGAGTACTGCAAAACCTGAAGATTTAGTCTATCAACGTACAGATAAGGATATCTCCCTCAATGAAAAACAAATTCTTGGTGATTTCTCGAACATAATTCTGATACGAAGGGGCATAAAATTGATATTATATTATAGGAGAAATGAAAAAGATGGGCGTATAGTTAATGTAATCTGCAAATTATTTTTTGGAGGGAGTACTAGTGAAGTGGTAAGAGTATAGCTGACTGCTTATAGCAAAGTTTTCTATGCATCACTGTGGTATTCGTATCGTAGTGATGTTGTTGTTATACATGGCATAAATCAGGGTGTCAATATAATTTTGTTAAGGAATACAACTTATGCAATCTACAATGGAAGCTGCTTTATAAAAATTAGTTATTTCGTCAACCACGGACATTTTTACTAATAACCGGACAAGTAAACCATTGATGCTTAGTCAATTTAGGATCTAAATAGATTCAGTGGGGACACAGCACACTGACCACATCTGGCAACACGATTTTTTATGTCATTATTAACCTATTTTCTTTACATAAAAGATCCGCGAATATTTCCTAGCCGTTACAACGGGTAAAATCTTTTCAATTATCGCAAGCGAGTTCATGCGAGAGATATCT